GCAGGCTTTTTGGTCTTTCGGTCTGGCTCGAAACGCTGCCCATATGGCAATTACATACAACAGTGTTGCAGAAGTGTTGGTCTAATGCCTGCTGGCAGGGAGAGAGAGAGAGGGAGAGGGAGAGAGGGAGGGATGGTAGCTCGGGTCCCGTCGTGTGTGGAAGGAAAGATAATGAGTTGGTTTTGTAAGTGTTAAGTGTGGAGTCGGCCCCAGGGTCGGCGCTCCTCGCAGCACAGTGTTCGCTGTTGCGCTCGTTTTAAAAACACATATTTTCCTTCCTCATGAAGTCGGTCAGTTCCGACCTCAGCCAGGCGCCCCTTTCATGTCCTCTCACGCCCGAAGGCCAAGATCTCTCTCTCTCTCGTCAGCTCGGCGGCTGGAGATCTCTCAGATGTTATTTGCCCCTGCCTCCGTCTCACCGTCCGAGCTATTGATCTGAATAGAATCGGTACAATTACCATCTCCTCAGCTGAGACTCCCCACTGTTTCCACTGTGGAGGCAAGACAAACAGAAACATCTGCTGAGCACCTCAGCTTAACTACTTCCCAGACTGGCAGCGCTCGGGCAAACTTACCGCAGCCTCCCTTGACCATTGCTGGCCACTTTATAGAAACGCCTACCTTGTGCTTCCACTAACAGGCCACTTTATTAGAAACACCTACTTTGTGCTTCCACTCATTGGCCACTTTATTAGAAACACATACCTTGTGCTTCCACTCTGTGGCCACTTTATTAGAAACACCTACCTTGTGCTTCCACTCACTGGCCACTTTATTACAAACGCCTACCTTGTGCTTCCACTCTGTGGCCACTTTATTAGAAACACCTACCTTGTGCTTCCACTCATTGGCCACTTTATTAGAAACCCCTACCTTGTGCTTTCATTCTCTGGCCACTTTATTAGAAGCATCTACTTTGTGCTTCCACTCACTGGTCACTTTATTAGAAACGCCTACCTTGTGCTTCCACTCACTGGCCACTTTATTAGAAACACCTACTCTGTGCTTCCACTCATTGGCCACTTTATTAGAAACACATACCTTGTGCTTCCACTAACAGGCCACTTTATTAGAAACACCTACCTTGTGCTTCCACTCATTGGCCACTTTATTACAAACGCCTACCTTGTGCTTTCATTCGCTGGCCACTTTATTAGAAACAACTACCTTGTGCTTCCATTCACTGGCCACTTTATTAGAAACACATACCTTGTGCTTCCACTCATTTGCCACTTTATTAGAAACTCCTATCTTGTGCTTTCATTCTCTGGCCACTTTATTAGAAACACCTACCTTGTTCTTCCATTCGCTGGCCACTTTATTAGAAACACCTACCTTGTGCTTCCACTCTGTGTCCACTTTATTAGAAACACCTACCTTGTGCTTTCATTCTCTGGCCACTTTATTAGAAACAACTACCTTGTGCTTCCACTCTGTGTCCACTTTATTAGAAACACCTACCTTGTGCTTCCACTCTGTGTCCACTTTATTAGAAACACCTACCTTGTGCTTTCATTCTTTGGCCACTTAATTAGAAACACCCACCTTGTGCTTCCGATAACCGCTTTATTAAACCCTCTCCAAAGGATGCCTTTGACCAGATGTTCAATTGTACTTTAACCAAATTCCTCAGAATAAATTTTAAATGGACATGAATTGCTGGCCCACCTAAAGCTAAAGGACAATCAGGGACTGGTGAGTGGACAGTGCACACCTGGGCTTGAGGCAATCATGCCCAGCTAATCATGGACACATGGCGTTAAAGCAGTAAACATGGATGCTAAATCTTATGCTAGCTGTCATCATCAGACAGCTAAAGACCAGCTAACACTGGCACTCAGAACAGGCAGCAGCTGCATTATGTGTCATCGCTGTGAGACTGCGCCGGTCCCCTCATGCGGAAAATCGTAATGAGGCGTTGTGAAAGGTTTGCCATGTTCCAGGTCTCGGGTGCAGAGAACTCGCCATCACCGAGATGAAATGCAAAGCGTGCAATCAACTAAAGGGGGACATTTAGCAGAGTGAGAGCGACATGCGGCGCTAATGCAGCGTGAGGCCCGCTGACCCCTGCCCTGTCCGGCCTCCCACGCATTACAGCGAGGCGTCGTTAAATCCAGAGTGTTCTCAGAGAGACCCCCTCACCTGAGGCCGCTGAGGGGGCTGTAATGAGGAGGTGTAAACTGAAGTGACTTTCAGCGTGTCCCACCTGAACACTTCACACTGCACACACACTCTTCCTGG